CCTTTAATAGAGATGACTGACCTCTCAACTCGATTAACAAAGCTTTCTGAGCAAAATACACCCTCCAGAAGTTTAGAAGGAGGTGAAGTTTCTGCTGCTTCTCAGAGGTGCTGCTCAGACTGAGTGCAGCACTCCAGCTGAGGGCTGGCCTGGGCCAGAGAGCTCAAAGCTCAGCCCAAGGCAGAACACTGCACCATGAGGAAAACTTCTGTTAAGGCTGAGATTAAGCCCCATCTGCCAGGTGACAGCACTTGAACTAGGCAAGTTGCTCCGAGCCTGTCAGGAAAGGAAGCCAGAACAGCCAAGCACCTAACAGAGCTCTCTGGAGATGAGGCAAGGACTGCAGCTGGTGTGACCACCAGAGGTGCAGCTCTACAGAGCTGCAGAGCCAAATTCTAACACTGAAGCAGTCAGCTATAAAACTGCTTCTCTGGCTTTTTATTTCCTTTTTCTTAATAGGACTTTCTGTTGAGAACTGTCCTTTTTCTTCATTCAAGTGACTCAGCCTATATGCACAACAGAAAAACCAGTTACCTCAGCTCTGGGACCCAAGCAACATCTCTAGAATCTCACTCCAACTTTTGCAAGCTTCAGGCAATCCTAAGCCACATGCACTTCATTCATTTCCTGAGCAGAACACAGAACATCCTGCAGGGGCAAAGTGCGAGCAAACTCAAGTTGTGATTTCAAATTCATTTAAGAAAGCCACCTCAAACACCTTTAATATTCCCAGTTGGGCACTGAAGCTGTTCCACTGAGTTAAAGCAACAGCAAAGATTAACTCTTACTCCCTCCCCTCCCAAGCAGCACTGCCATGCAGTTGGTTCTCAGGCACAGAGCCTTGGGGTGCTCATGTCCCTCAAGCCTTCTGCTAGGCTCTCACCCCCCTCCAAAGATGTTCTGCAATTATCCTTTATCAAAAGTTCCTGAAAGCATCTAATAAGATGCAAAGGTATTACATTTGGATACTACCTTTGGAGGCACAGGTTTTAATGCTCAGACAGCTGAATGAGCATCAGCAACAAGAGTTATTACCATGTTGGCCACACCGGTGCTACAACGAAGCTCTATGCCTGATCCAGCAGGGGTTTTAATTCTGCAGAATAGCATGACTAATTGCTTTCAAAACTGCAGCTAGTGTGCTATTAGATCACCATGGGCTGAAGGGAGAAACATGCAATTAAGGCAGGCTGAGGTTCTGAGCTCCTGCCCTTCCTCATGCTTCCAGAAAGCATTTGAATCTGTAGGTGACCAGAGCCACCACATCCCCACCTGCTGACACCACAGCAAGTGAGCTCGTTCCAGACCAGCGCGATGGAGACCCAAGCATGCGAGCTTCCTGTACAGCTTCAGTCAAGCCATGGAAACAACACACTTGTAAGGACTGCTTTAAAAGCAGCAGGATGAGAGGCGGAAGCTTCCGAGCAAGTGTTAGCAAGACATAAATTGCAGCACACAACTCCTGTAGATGAGTTTTGCATCACCTTCATTTTATATAAGCTTCTCACTAGCTGTATGGAACAAAGACCCACATCCCAGGTACCAAGATCTCCCCACTCCCACGTTAACCCCCTCTTGGAGGTCTTGCCTGCATTCAGTTATTCTTGGCACTGCAAGAACTTTGTCCAGTGTCCAGAAGCTGATGCAGTCCAGGTTAATGATACTCAAGATTACTATGTGGACTAACTCAAAACTGAACTAAGTTTGTAATCCTGCAGGCAAGGTTCCCATACCTCCTATTTCTTACACTGCATGCTCTCAAAAGACCCAACTTCATTCTGCCCAGAAGTCCAGCAACACACGCCTGTAGACAGCACCAGATAGCAGAGCAGAAAACAGCCATCTTCACCACAAGAGAGTCAGTGACCTTCATAATATCTTTCCCAGACTGCACAAACATCTCCTGCCTCCAGTGGCTCCTTTTTTGGAGCGCTACCATATCAAAGCAAACATGAAAACCGGTGTTTTCTTATCTGTTTATGTAGGACTACTCCAACAGTTCGTTCCCGTGCTTCAGGGGAAGTTAGCATTCACATCAGGATTTAGACAGAGCACTATTATTCCCCATAATGTCACTTCCAGGAAAGTTTGCTGTTTCTGGCTCACAGATGGAACATTTTCATGGTTACTGACAATTTCATGGAACTTGCATAAGAGGACTTCAAACTTCACATCCCAGGGGAAGAAAAGCGCTGACTCTGTCATTCCTACATTCTGCCCTCTTCTAAGCATGCTGACCAAAATACTTCAGGCTACACCCACTTCATTAGAAGTGTTCCCATTTCACTTCCTGTGTCTGGAAGGACTTGGCACTATTCCCCCCTCCCTTCCTAAGGAGATGCATGACCATCTAGTGGGTGACCGTGCAGCACTTCACGGCAGGACTGAGCTGATGAGGTGCAGGGCCCAGAGCAATGCCAAAGCTGACCCCTCCTTTCCATGCAGACCTTTGCTGCGATGACAACAATTTCACTTCTCATCGCTGCTCCTCCACACCTCGAGGTTTGGCCAAGCACACAGTACCAGGCCGTTACTCAGCTTTGTTGCAGTCAGTGCCCAATCCATTACTGGCTTCACTTTTATAGCAAAGTGAAGCAAATCCAACTCTGTCCATAGTAAAGCCAAGTAAGTGTTTGACTTTACTATATCCCACATCCACCTATTGAGCTAGCTGCCCCCTATACTGCTCTCTAACTGAAACCCTTCCTCAGGACTTCCATTTTATCTTGCTCCCTCACCTGATGGGGTATTAAAGCCTTACTTAAACAGCCCTAGTGCCAGGCAGTGCAGGTCCCTTATCTTAAAATGAATGTAGTTTGAATTAGTCTGTGGTATCTCATTGGGAAAACTGCCTGTAGAGGTAGACTTGCTATAGAAGAAGTTGACTGTTAGGGCATCCTGCTGAAACACAGTTACCGAAGTCAAGCACAGCTTTTCTTAACCTTACAGGTCTGTACAGTCCCTAGCTTTACCTGCTGTCCTCACTCCAAGAAGGCCTTAAGGCCAACACTGCCCTACAGCAGTCTACAAACACCATTCTGAACTCCTCACCCATTTCAGTCACAGCTTTCACCTTATTAGGCCACTGAGCAAAAAGCCTTGAGAGTCAAGGCATGAATGAGCATCAGTGGGACATTCCAAGGAAGTTCACTCAAACAGCATGGCATGTCAAGCTAACACGAATCAAAATTATCTTTCTTTCTAGGGTCTCAATCAAGCTTCAGGGCCCTGAGTTTAGAGAGAGTCAGGACTCCAGCATTACACCACATGAGGTGTTACACTTTAAGCAGGGCAGCTTGAACATTTGGAAAGCCACCAGACAAAAAAACTAAGAATAGTAGATGCAACTTGTTCCACATAAGACTTAAAATAGTATCTCAGTGTACTCTTCCCTCTGATTTCCTTACACATTTGGAAAACATCAAGGTCAGAGCTCCAACAGCCATACACAACAGCAACAAGTGAAGGGCCATAACTCCCCAGCAGGCTAGCTCACAGTGAGGTGCTGCCATTAACCACGCAGCTCTCAGAAATCAGAGCTCTCCCGTATTCAGTAGCACCTTGAGTATGATCAGAAACAGCAGCAGCTGCCACCACAGGACCTCCCATGGGCAGCCTGCTGCTCACCATGCAGCTGCAGGATCGGCCCCGTGGGATCACACAGCAGCTGTGCCAGGCAGCTGGAGGCTGCTGTGTGTAAACATGGAGCTACGCACTTGAGATCCCTTCCAAGGAAAAGGCAGCACTAAGGTCAGCTCTGTGCCACCACACTGAATTCCACACGTGCCCCAAAGCAAAGAGAGACGGCGTTTTCCATCAGCAGCTATCCAAAAAGGTCTTAGCTCTACAGCAACTACTTCCAACAAACAAAGCCAAAGTCTTCATTTAGGCCATGCTCTGCCTAGGACCCAGCTGGATTCCAGCCTTCTGGAGCTCCTATGCCCACCTCAGCACAGACTGACCACAACAAAAGGCCGGACCACAACCCTCGCAAACAGCTCACCTCCCCCGGACCCCATTCAAACTCCAAGCAGTCACCACTGTAGCACAGCAACAAGAGAACGACCAGGCAGGGGAGGAAGCATTTATTAAAAGCACGCCGCAGCGCGCAGCCGGGTCCCTCCGATCCTAGCCATAAAGGAAAACGACGCGGGCAGCTCAGCCTGGTGTCGCCGAGCAGCAGCAGCCCCGCCCGCCCAGCACAGCACCGCGCGCACGGAGCCCTCCCGGTGCCGTTGGCGGGCAGCGCTCCGCTCCCAGCAGCCGGCAGGGCCGGATCCCCACGGGAAGCGACCGACCAGCGCCGGCCCCCGCTGAGCGCGCGGCCGGGACACGGGGACGCGCACGGCCGACCGGCGCCCGCGAGACCGCGCCCCGTCCCCGCCGCTCGGCGCCTGCCCCGGCCGGGCGGACTCTCCGGGAACCGGGCCTGCGCGATACGGGCCGCTGCAGCCAGCCGCCGGGCCGGGCCGAGCAGCGGGCCTGGAGCCCCGCGAGCCTCGGGCGGGGCAAAGCGCAGCCCCTCACTCACCGCCCGCAGGGCCGCTCCCCGCCGCGGGTGCGTCTCGCAGGCCCCGGCCCTCACTTCCGCCTTTACCCGTTCCGCTTCCGGACCCGTCCACCACTTCCGCTCCTGCCTTGCGGGTCACGGGCAGCCGCAACTGCCAATCATCTTTGTCCCGCCTCGTCGTGTCTCCGCCTCCTGCGGGGCGCGCTGTATCACGTGACCCGCGCTCCGCTGCGTCACTGCCTGTCCCTCGCAGAGCACCATGGGAATTGTAGTCCCAGAGTCCCCCGGCAGCGCTCCGGGGCGCGGGGCTGTTGTGGGATGCGATCCTGGGATGGGGTCCGGGACGGGAGGGAACGGGTTGGAGACCGCGGCGCGCGGAAACCCCGCTGCCCCGCCTCGCACGCGCTCCCCGCCCCGCAGCTCGGCCCCATCCCACTGCAATCCCCCCCCAGAAGCGCAGCCCCGGAGATGTAAAAATAGAACTTTTATTTCCCGTCTGTGCGGGGCGGAGGGGCGCAGAGGGGAGAGGGGCGATGCCGACCCCGGTGCACAGAACAACGGACAGCGCCCGGGGTGCAGCGCTGGTCCTGCACGGCACCGCCCCGGGGTGCCACCATCCCCCCGAGCCCCGCTCGCGGCGGCCCCGCATCGCCCCGGGTGGCGGCCGGCGCCCAACACCGGGCACGAGGGGTGCGCGGCCCCGGGGGCGGGTTTACAAAAAGCCCCGTGGGCGAGGAGAGTATCAAAACCGGTATCAAAATCCGTGCAGAGCGGCCGGGACCGACGCGAACCCGGGCCCGCACCGCGTGCTGGATGCGCCTCCGGAGTCGGGGGGTCCCGGTGCCTCCGCCCTCCCGAGGCTCAGCGGGCGCTGGCGGATCCGGAGCGGGGCTGCGGGCGGGCGCGGGCCGAGCAGCCCGGGAAGGATTGGGCGAAACGAGGCGGCACCGCGGGCGGCGGGGTCGGGGACTGCGGGACGGGACGGGGCGGGCGCGGCGCGGGCTGCGGGGCGGCGGGGGACGGCGGGCGCGGTGCTTCCGTGCCCAGCCCCGGGCCGCCGGAGGCTGCGGGAACAGAGCGGCTGCGGGCGGGGGTGGAGCCCCGGGAGGCGGTGGGGGCCGGCGGGGGCCGGGGGGGCGGCGACGAGGCTCCGGGCGGACGACGAGGACACGCGGGGGGCGGCGGGCGGCCCTGGAGCAGCTCCAGCACGCGCTGCAGCTCCCGGCCGAGCTGCGAAACCTCGCGGTTGAGGTGGGCGATCTGCAACGGGGACGGAAAGCAGTGAGCCCCGACGGGGCGAGTGGGCCCCGCACTCCCGGGCGGCCCCGCACCTCCCGGCTCAGCCGCACGATGCTGCGCTCCGCCGCCTCCACCTCCGCCGCCAGCGCCGGGCCGCGCTCCGCAGTCCCTGCCGAGAAGATATCGCACGTCGCTGGGATCCCCTTGCTCCCCCTCTAATTCCCCCCCCCCACCATTCGGCACACGGCCGTACCTGGTGGCGGGGAGCCCCTGGGCGCGCCCTGCGGCCGAGGGGTTGCGCCGAAGCAGAAGGTTCGCACCTCCCGGGTCCCCCCGTCGTCTTCGATTCCGTCCACCACTCTGCGGGGGGTCAGTGAAAACCCAACCTCGTCCTCGCCGTGTCCGCCTCCCCCCGGGCACGTGCAGCCCTCGGCCTTACCTGGGGCTGAGCTCGGTGGGTCCGGGGGCGTTCAGGGAGGGGCCGAGGAGAACCGCCCTCCGGCCCCCGCCGCCCCCCGCTTCCCCTCGGGGCCGTGCCTTGGGGATGCCGCGCTCGTCTCCGCGAGGAGCGCCGGAGAGTCGCGTGGGGCTGCTACGTGGGGGCAGCAGCGGTTCGCGGGGGGTGACGGCGGGGGGCGATCGCTGGAAGACCTCATCCGCCTCTTCCTCGTCCTCTGCGATGCAGGGGAGGGACTGCTCCGGGCCGGGGCCGCTGTCCGAGCGGGGCTGCGGGTGTGGGCGGAGGGGTCAGCGCTGCTCCCCGCACCCCCGGGGCTCCCCACACCCGACAGCACGAACCTGCGACGCCTGCGAGAGGCGCGGGGAGCGAGCGAAGCGGCCGAGCCCCTGAGAGAGAGATTTGGAGACGTCAGCGGGCAGAGCTGCACCCGCGTCGGGCCGCAGCCCTCGGTGCCCCCGGGCAGCGCAAAGGCCGGCCTCAAACTGCAGTCCCGCAGCTCCGCGCTGGGCTCCGGGGCTCGCAGACTACGCCTGTCTTCTCCTGCTGTCAGTGCTGTGCTGGGCCCCAGAACTCAGCCAGAGCCACGGCCGAAACCCCTCTGTCAGGACATCGCCTTCCCACGGGTAGCACGGGGCTCCCGCAGGACACAACGCGCTTTGCTTGCATCCGTCTCGGTTTGTTCGTACCTCTCCCCAGTGAGGGACAAAGCTCTTGGTGCAGGGAGCGACCTTCCGCCCTGCCCTGGAGGCAGTGTGTGCCGGGGGTCACACGGCGCAGCCTCCGCTGCTCCGGAGCCAGGAAGGGGGGAGGTGGTGGGCAGAGGACCCCCCGGCAGCATGACTCGACTCGGCCGCCTCCTGCGGGGGGGCCGCGTCCCGGCTGCCTTTCCCCCCCACCTCCTTCCACCCCACTTCCAAGCCCCGAATCCACCTCAGCCTTCTCCGCTGCAAACGCTCTCGCTTTGGCTTTGAAAGTGCCCGGGTTGCGCGGAGCTGAGAAAAGCCGCCGGAACGTACCTGCACGGGGCGGCAGAGCCGCGGAGCCTCGGGAGCGAGAGAACGGAGCAGACGAACTCCCCATCCCGGCCACGCAGAACCCCAGTCCTGCTCCCGGCTCTGGGGACGCGAGGACGGGAAAGGGCCTGCGGGGGAAGACACGCACCCACCTCCATCTCGCTGCCCTCCCGCAGGTTGAAGGTGAGGTCCTGGTGGATGTCTGCTGCGAACTTGCTGGCATACTCTGGGTAGAGCCGCAGCACTTCGCGCAGCCCCCGCAGCCCGATGTACTGCAGGTCGCAGTAGGTCAGCGCCTTCACGTCCGCGTTGGTTTTGATCACCGGGTCCCTGCCGGCCAGGTCGGCGCCGATCAGATCCCCTTTGCCTGCAGGAGGGGATGGGGCAGGGGCTATGGCGGCGTCAGCCCCGTACCAGGCAGGCGGCAACGCGCCGTGGGGACGGCCCTCACCCAGGATGGCCAACACCACGCTGTCCCTCAGCACCTCGAGGGAGCCGGAGCAGACGAAGTAGTTGGCCTGCAGCGCGTCGCCTTGCCGCAGCAGGTACTCGCCCGGCGCGCAGAACGACGTCTTGATGTGCAGCGAGAGGGAGCGCAAGCAGCCTCGGCTGGCGGTCTCGAAGATGGGCAGCTGCAGGATGTCCTTGTTCAGGTGCATGGCCACGTCGGCGCGGAGCTCGTCGGGGAAGTCACGCAGCAGCTGGGGAGAGAGCAGCCGGGATGGGGGAATGGAGCATCCCTGCGCCCTGTAGGGCTGGGAGCGTTGCCGGGACCTCTCTGCACGGCAAACTCAGGACAGCTCAGGACAGTCTGCCCTGCTCCTGTGCACAGCTCTGATCTCTCCAGCAGCAGAACATGGACGTGTGCACATGCACACGCTTGCATTCCTGTCACTGGCCCTGGGTGCAGGAGAGAGGAAGGTCCAGCCCTGCCGAACCCTCCTACCTCGTTAGCATCTATGCCGTTGTTCACCGACCAGGTGGTCTGGAAGTACTCCAGCATCCTCTGCTTGAGCTGCTGGGGCAGGCGGTGCACACGGATGAAGTCCTTGAGGTCCTTCATGCGGGTGTGGTAGAGCGAGCGGCGCGAGTACATGCGCTGGATGATGGCCGTGACGTTGCCAAAGACAACGGCGTGCATCAGTGCTGGGGGCCAGGAGGCAGTGTCAGCCGACGGGGGGGCAGGGCCAGGATGGGCTGTGCTCAGTGGCACCGTGGGGCTGAAGGATGCAGCTATGTAGTCGCAACCCCATCTCCTTCCCGCCCGGGTACCCGCCTCACCCCCAATGAGCATGGTGCAGATGGAGAAGATCTTCTCGGCATCAGTGTTGGCGCAGACGTTGCCAAAGCCCACGCTGGTCAGGCTGCTGAGGGTGAAGTAGAGGGAGGCGATGTAGGCGCTGCGGATGGAGGGCCCCCCTGCTGAGTTGTTGATGTAGGGAGCTTCCAGCCTCTTGCCCAGCTCGTGCAGCCAGCCTGCCAAGCACAGCCCAGGGTCAGTGCTCACCAAGGGGCAGCCTCCACTCAGCACAGCAGCAGCCCTGCCCTGGCTGCGCTCTGCAGGAGGAGCCGGCCAGAAGTTCTGTGCCCACGCTCACCGATGTCCCAGGTCAGCGGGTCGTTGCTCTCCATCTCCTTGCGGCCGATGACGTACCAGATGCACGCCATCCAGTGGGCCAGCAGCGCAAACACAGACATGAGCAGCGTCAGCACCATGGCGCTGTACTGCGAGTACCGGTCCAACTTTTGCAGCAGTCGCAGCAGCCGCAGCAGGCGTACCGTCTTCAGCAAATGCACCAGCGAGGTCTGAGGAGCAGGCAGGAGGGTGAACCTGGCAGAGCTGCAGGAAGGGCTGGGAAGGACCCCCCCGCTTCCCCCTGGGGCAGAGACCCTCCACCGCTCTCCACAACTGCAGGAGGGTCGTGGGCTATAGAATGGGTTGGGAGGCGCTCCCCACTGTGCAGCCATAGAGCCCCTCTCCCCACCCTCACCACAGTCACGTTGAAGATGTAGAGCAGGTCGAAGGGCAGTGCGGCAATCAGGTCCACGAAGAACCAGGTGGCCACGTAATGGATGCAGATGGAGTGGGGCTCATACACCACCTGGCCTGAGTGGCTCACATACGTCGTTCGGAAATTCAGGATGATGTCTGCCCCAGGGGGAGCACGGTGGCCCTGAGTGCCCCACTGCAGCTGGGGGGCTGGGCTGGGTTCCAGCCAAGGACATCCTCGTGCCCAAGTAAGGTGCACATCCCTGGGCACAGACCTACCCAGGATGAAGAGCATCTCCACCACGATGTCACTGACGATGGTGCTGCGCGCGGCCGAGAGGCTGTCCTCTGTGCTGGTGAAGCAGACGTTGTAGGGGACAGTGACAGCCACGTAGAAAGTGGCCACCAGGATCAGCCAGTCCCAGAGAGCCTTGAAGATGCTGTAGTGCAGCAGGATGAAGTGGGCTTTCTGCACCGAGGCCACTTTGTACTCAGGGATGGAGGGCTTGTTCTCAAACACGTTCTGAGGGAGCACAGGGCAGCGGTGGCACAGGAATGGTCCCACTTTGCAGGCCCCCTTTCCTGGGATGCCCCAGGACCCAATGACATGGTGATGTACACAGCTGTCTAGTGGGGCATGTAGCACACAGGCTGCACTGAGATCACCCCAAAGACGGACAGAGTAACCAATTACTACCATAAATTGATGTTGCACTAATGCTATTAACAGCAACCCATTGTCAGTGCCAGCTGCTGCCTTGAACAGCCCCACATGCAAATTCACATGCAGGAGGCAGAGCTCACCACCACCCTCTGCACTGGCACTGATGACATTGCTGCCTCTCCTGCCCCTTTCCTCCCAGGCTCAGCAGTGCTGGTTGCACCCACATCCCTGCAGCAGGCTGGCACAGCGTGCTGCTGCTGGGAACCACTGCTCACGCACCCAGTGCCTGGTAACAGCACTCCCTGGGGCACCTGGGCTTCCCCACAGCTCACGCAGAAAAGAGTCAACATGCAAGAGCTGCCGAAAGCTCTGCTTTCCCCACAGTATCCTCTGCTCTGCTGCCTACCAGCAACCTTTGCACCAGACCATGGTGCAGCTGCCTTGGGGGACAGCGAGGAGCATGGCATGGGGAGAGCGCCCTGATAATGCCAGGCTCCATGTGCACCCGGCTCCTTACCCGATTGATTTTCATCTCACCGCGGTCCCGCCGTGCAAACTGGCTGCTGAGCCGGTGCAGCACTGTCCTGCCCTGCCGCCGTGCCGCCCGCAGGTGTGAGCTGCCAGGTTTCTTGCTCCTCTGCTTCTCTGCAGAGATGATGCGCTGGTTTAGTGGGACCACTCCCCAAAGCTGTGGAAATGAGCCCCATTTATCCCATCCCCCTCCCCTGGGAGCCACTCGGAGCTTAGAGAGGGGTCTCTCTGAGTGCACTGAAATGGGACATAATGCCAGGCAGGAGCAACTGGAGCTGGGACCCCCCCAGCATATGTCCACTGCACACATGGCTGTGAGTCTCGGATCCCATCCCCACCCCACCACTACGGCTCACCCTCCTTCCTGTCGCTTGGATGGCTCTTGCCCCGGCTCTCTGTGATGTCCTTGAAGGAGACAAGGAAGAGCACCACCTCCCCCTTCTCGTTCTTGATGGGCATGATGTCCAGCAGGCACCAGAATGCAGCTCCTGTGTGGAGGAGAGGAAAGGGTAGGCAGGAAGCCCCTCCGAGGGCTGCGTTCTGTCCAGAGCTGCCCAAGGGGCCCCGCACCCTGTGCCACTCACCACCCTTCTTGTAGAAGCAGACCTCAGCCTGCTGTTCCTGCTTGCCCTCCAGCACCTTCTCGATGCGCTGCAGGACGGGCTCGCTGGTCTCAGCCCCGCAGAGGAAGCGGCAGCTGCAGTTCTTCTGCATCACCTCGGTGCGGGCGAAGCCGGTCAGGTCGCAGAAGCCGTCAGAGCAGTAGACAATGGGGAAACCACGGCGGACCTGAGCGTTGGCCAGGATGAAATTGCTGTCTGAAAGGAGACACAGCAGCCCCTGAGGGTTCGGGGCTGTTCTGGGGAGCACCCCCTCTCCTCCCCAGCAGAGCAGTGGCCACACGTCACCGTCTGCACCAGGGGACGCACAGCAGGTGGCTGCACACCCTACACTCACCCAGCGCCAGCAGAGCCAAGAGGAAACACGCCCCATGCTGTGAACTGTGCCCTGTGTGGGGAGACACCAGGCCCCCCTTGCTCTGCCACCCCACAGGTCCCAGCCACAGGCAGGACCCCAGCCCAGCCCCACCACACTGTGAGCAGAAAGAGCTCACTGCAGCCCCTGGCTCTCCTTGCAATGAGCCACGATCCCACACGAGGTGATCTGCGCCTCCCCCTCACCATCTGCTGCTCCCACCTCCCTGCTGAGTGTGGAGCTTAGCAGGGGACAGTGAATATGGACAGGCAGTGCCAGCCCCTGCAGCCCCCTGCCCAGCAGAGGGGTGGGAGTGATGCCACTGAGCCCTGAGCCTACTCCAAGCAAGGAAAGGATAGAGGTGTGTAGAAATGCAGTGTTCTTGGCTGCCACAGTACTGCAAAGCTCACTGCCTCCCAGCATCGCCCCTTCCCTGCAGGACAGCTCTAGGCTGGGCTCTATTAGCAGGGCTGCACATGCTGGCCATAGGCTCTGTGCCAGCCAGCCAGATGGCTTTGTGCTTTAGCCCAGGGAAGGGTGTGCACAAGGGCAGCAAGGAAGTGGGATGCACAGCCAGCAGGGTCTGCATTCACACCCATTGAGGGCAGAACGGGGGCTACCATCCAGATGCAGTCGCAAGCCTGAGGGTCGCAGCCAAGCATCCCTGCATTCCACACCCCCAGCACCCAGAAAAACATCATCTTCCCATTTCACAGCACAGGGGAGGGAGGCCCACAGCAGATTACAGTGCAAAGCCATGCCAGGACAGAGCAGCCTGGGCAAGGGCAGCAGAGAGCCACACACAGCCCTGGTGCAATGGGAGGTGCAGCAGGGCCACCACAGTACAGCTCAACCGCGGATTAGCTTGGAGAAGCAAAAATAGCTGTGACTAAGGCCAGATTTTTGCTCTGGGGAGCCAGGATTACTATGGTGTCCAGGGTGTGTTATTAGAAAGGAAAAAAAAAAAGGCTCTCACTGGGGAGCAGCACAGCCACAAAGGGGACTGCAGCCCTGCTGTGGTGATGGCTTGCCTGGATGAGCAGTGCAGGGCCTATTAGGCAGCAGCTGTGTGGGAGAGGCAGGGTTAAGTCATGCCACATATCACTGCAGCTAAAGCCCCTCTCCATGGCAGATAAAGCCGATAAGAGACACATCAAACCCACAAAGCCAGACACTGTTTAAAAGCACCCGTAGGGCGGGTTCAAGCCATCGAAGGCAGGATGCTGTTGGTCACCCTTGCTCTGTGGAGCAAATTCTCAGAGTGGGCATGCTCCAGGCTCCAAGCATCATCAGAGCAGTCCCAGCACAGCAAGAGACAGAAATCCTGGGAGGCCTGGAAGATTCTGGGGAGGCGTGGGGCTGGCTATGCTCACAGCCCATCCCTGAGTGGCTGCACGGTGCCAATACTGCCGGAAGCTGGCATGTTGCACCCCTGCATAATCCCCTCACCAACGTGCCAGGGCTTCAATCTGTCCCAGCCCCAGCACAGGGGCATGGAGACAGGGAGGAATCCAGCTCCTGGGCTACTCCAACACCTCCAGCTGCAGGAATTGGCTCCAGAATGGGCACTGCTGGGCTCTGCTCCACAGTCTGCCATAGCACTCTGCTGCCAGTGCCCACATCTCCCAGGGACGCAGCTCCATGCAATGGCTTGGGCTGGAAGGTACCTTTAAAATCACGCAGTGCTTGCCGCAAGCAAATGGGATGCTCTCGCGGCAGGCAGAGCCCAGCCCAGCAGCTACACTCCGGGAGGTGGGGACCGACAGGCAGCACCGTGCAACAACGGGGCTCTGGAGCTCCAAACCACACTGGTGGCCAGAATGCCATGTGCCACGGGTACAGCAGGCAGGCGCTGTGCTGCGTGGCCATCCCGTGGCATCCCGCAGTGCCGGGGGTTCCCAGGGTAGCACCCAACTCCCTGCTCCCATCCATCCTTGGGGGGCTCCAGATCTGGCTGCTGCTGTCACACGGGGAATTTGGGGCTGGGGCAGAGCAGGGCGCTGCCCTCCGCACGGCGAGCTCTGGACCGGGGCCGCCTCTCCCGCGCCCTCTCGGGGACGGCAATCAGTGCAGGAGGGGCGCGGAGACCCCCGTCAGCCCCGGCCGGGTTCTGTCCTGGTGCTGAGCGGGGCCGGGGTCCTCCTGGGGCACCGACAGCGGGGCACGAGACAGCGGGGCACTGCCGGGCGGCTCGGGGGCTGCGCGTGGCGGGCGAGATTGAGCCCGGCTGAAGGACAGACAGCTTGGGGGTCCGCGCGTACCGCTCAGCCCCGGGGGCTCCGATGCCGTCCCGAGGGGCACCGCCTCCCTCTGCCCGCCCCCCGCCGCGGTCCCGGGGCGCAGCCCTACGTGTGCCATCGAAGCGGGTGGCGATGGTGTCCAGAAAGGTGTTCTGCGGAGCCAGCAGACCCTTCATCACCGGCATCGTCCCTCGGGGACGCCCGCCCCGGGCTGCGGAACGGGGCTCCGCCGCTTCGGGGCCCCTCCGCAGGTGCTGCCCCAACGGCGCGGGTAATCCCGGCTCGGCTCGGCCCGGCCCGCCCTGGGCTTCGGCTCCGCCCCCAGCCCCGCCCCGGGCACCGGGAGGGGTCTCGGCACCGGCGGGCACCGGCAGCTGCTCGGCTGCGCGCGGCTCTGTTTCGGAAGGCGCCGCGCCGGGCGCCGCTCGGTACCCGCTGCTCCGGGAGGCAATGGCCCCCCGGGAGGGGCGGGATCCATCCTCGGGCCGGGGCCGGCAGCAGGACCACCGCCCCGCGGCAGAGCCGTGCCTCCGGGCCCCTGCAGGGACGAGGCGGAGCCGGCTGACATCAGGCTACCGTTTATTGTAAAAGGCCGAGGGTGCCGAGCAGCGTTGGCCGGGGCCACAGGGAGGCATTTAAAAGTGCTATTTACGCTGATTCCCCCGCGGACCCCCGCCCCGCCCCGCAGCCCGTCTCAGTAAAAGCTCTTCGCCGCTCCCCAGCCCTTGGTCAAGTCCGTCTCAGCGTGCTCCTGGCACTCTCTGGGGCTGGCAGCAGTGCCCCTCGGGGCCACTGTCGGCTGAGCGCCCGCAGCGCAGCTCAGTGCGTCGCGGCAGGCGGTGCCGGGGCGCTCCTCACGTTTGCCCATGGTGAGGATGCCCGCTGCGTGGTTGCCGGAGCCGTGCAGCAGGCGGTACAGCCGGCTCTGGAATGCTGGCGGGATGCTCTTCCTCTTGCCCAGCGTGAGGATGCCGGCGGCGTGGTTGCCCATGCCGTGCAGGAGGTCGTAGATACGGCAGGAGCAGGTTTTCTGCCGGCAGCACTCGGGCAGGCTCTGCCGGGCTCCGGCCAGGGAGCAGACCAGCAGCAGCAGCAGCAGGAGGCAGGCGGATCGCTGCAGCTGCCAGAGAACAGCCGCGTTGGTACAGGGCTCAGCTCCCACCCTGCAGGCTGCCTGCTCATCTCTGCTGCAGCACCCGCAGCATCTCCTCTCTGGGGCACATCAGGGACAGAGGGGACCCCAAGGAGATTCGCTCCTGCCCCGCCATTCCAGCCCAAAAACCACACTGTGAGCAGGAGTTGGCTGCAGATACCTTCACCAGCACTTACCTGTGCCAGCACACAGCCAGCACCTTCCCTCACCACTGAGTGCTGCGGGAGGAGCAGCGAGATGCCCAAGCTCGTGCCAAAGCACGATGCCGCATGCAGCATGCACCCCGCACCCACACAGGGAACCCAGGCAGGGCTGAGCCCCCCGACTTCTGTTCGCAGGGGAACCGGCCCAGCCCTCACCAGACCTCAGCAGTGCCCCTGCCCACCCCAGCCCCACCTTGGTGTTGGGCACCTCCATCCTTCTGGGTGTCTTCAGGTGGCCAAGCGGTGCTGGCGCATGTCCTGCTGGGGCTGAGGAGCGCAGCCGCCCTGAGCCGCACACCGGGGCTTTATAGGGGCGGCCCCCCCCAACCCCCGTCCCCGCACAATAGCGCTGCCAAAAATACCGTCCGGTCTCTGGGAGATGTGTGGTCTTTGTTGTCGGTAGCTCGGAAACCGGTCAGGCCTTTCCCCTCATTTGTGGCTCTGTATTATGTGGGTACAGCGCAGGACCGGGGTGCGTGGCACTAATGAAGCCATAATTACCCGAGGGACTAGCGGCCCCACAAAGCCGCGTGAAGGTCAGCGCCGGGGGAAGCGCCAACCGCTCCCAACAACGGCAGCTCTCGGGTCAGCTCCGGTGGCCCCATTAGGCTAATTACCGCCCGAACAAAGGGGCGCCGGGCAGCCGCCGGCTGCGTGCTGCGCTGACGTGCGGGGACGGCGCAAATGGAACCGGCAGAAGATGGTGCCCTCATCGCCACTGCCATCGTCTCATTTGGTGACCCCACCCCCAGCACCGAGAGGGACAGCAGCGCACAGCGTGGGTCTCACACACTTTATAAACAGAGTGCTCCGCAGCCCCAGACCACCTCTCACCCACAGCCCACATCTGCGGTGTGCTCTCTCATGGGCCAAGCCCAGGATGAGCTCCCTGATGCCAGAGGACACAGCCCCTGGCAGCTCTGCTCTGCAGTAGTCCCACAGCCCCAGACCCATTGCCAGCTGCCCTACAGGTGCCTTCCCAGCTTCTCTGCACAGCAGGGACCTGAGGACACCTGGGAAGACCCTGGGAGAAGGAACAGTGGTCGGCCAGACCCCTTCCAGCCATGCAGGCAGTCTCCAGGGTTGGCAAAGGCAGAATCTGCAGCCCTGACAGCCAAAGCCCACGCCTGGGGCAGTTCTTACAAGGGAGGTGGCACAGCAGGCTGGGGTTGAACGCACACAGCTGGGTGCCAGCAGTCCAACCCCCGGCCCCACAGCACAGCACCCGCTCTGGAAGCAGATGGAAGAGGCCTGGGAAGCCGGAGGGAGCAGACAGGAGTGAGGCTCCCCCAGTTCCCTGCAGTGTCTGCAGGCAGGTAAATGACTGCGCTGGCAGCCCCTCAGCACCCTGCCCATTCCCATCCCCAACTGTGCCACAGGCTCTGTAGTCCCTGTTCCTGCAGCAGAGGCTGCTCCATGGGGGCTGCCTGAGCCCCAGGCCGGGGTCAGCAGGACGCGGCATCGCTGCCTCCTTCTGCCTCAGGGATGGGCTCCAGTGGTGCACGCAGCCGGGACGGCTCCGGGGAGGCCAAACCGTTCCTGCCGATGCCACAGGACTGCCCGGCATTGTGGATCTGCCAGAGGTTGTCCAGTGCCTCTGCCTTGGCATGCTTGAGAAGGTCAGCTTGGCCCTGCCGGGGGGAGAAGACATCAGGGAATGCAGCCACATGTGCTGAGTCCCTCTGTGCCACCTCCAGTGCATGGCCATGCCACACAGCCACAGGGATGTGCTGGGCTCAGGCTTATCGTGGACCACAACCAGCCCGCGCTCCTGGAGCATCCCCTCGATGCTGGTCCCGCTCCTCTCACCTTCAGGACGGTGATGTTCCAGGCAAAGCTCTCCAGTGCTTTCTGCAGCTTCCGTCCCCGCAGCCCCTCCTTGGCCTCAATGCGGTGCAGCTCCTTGTGGAAGTCCATACCTGGGCAGGTGGCACACAGAGCTGTGCTCAGCACCACGGTGCATGGGGACAGCCACTGCCACAGGGGACGGGGACGGGACGGGACATCCTTCACCCAGCAGAGAACCTTGTGGTCAGCCTCAGCTGCCCTGAGCCCCCTCCCATTAAGGAATGACGTCCCAACACAGCCCCCACCGCCTCACCCCCAGCCCTTGCTGACTTTGGATCCTAAAGCCTGTAGGATTGGGATGGGTTGCAGTGACCCCAGGCAGAGGCACAGCCCCTCCATACCACAGCCCACCCAGAGGGGCTCACAGAGGAGCTGTTGCCCCCCCCCCCACCCCCCTCTAGAGCATGTGCCCCCACACTGCACCGCATGATGTCCTCGTGAGCAGGTGCTAAATTTACCCCTCCCTGACGCAGCACTGGCTCTGGGCCCACATGAGGGCTCCCACACATGCCTGCTCACCCACACACTGCCAATCAGCTCACATCCTCCCCACACCCCCAACCCCACCGCCAGCACCCCCGGACCCCACAGTGCCCATACCATGGGGTGAATGCAGGCAGCAGCACTCAGGCACAGAGGTCACGGCTGCAGGCCCCCCAGTGTAGGGGTCAGCACACCCCAGACCTCTGCCCCCAAGGAGGACACGGGACACGGGGCAGCACTCACTTCTGCAGCACAGCAGAGGGCTCCCACAGCCAAAGCGGTGCAGGGGATGCAGAGCCTACCCCAGCCCGCACCTCCAGCCCCCCCACTGTGCTCCTCATCACTGACAGCAGCAACAGAGCTCAAAGCCAAATGCCCGGGGAGGTTTTTGGGCTGCTGTGCAGCCAAGGAACAAACTGGCTGGCAGCAGCTGGCACTGGTAGGGGTGGCACAGCACGGAGCCTCTCCTGTCCCCTACAGTGCCCAGAAGACCCCCAGACCCACAGGGTGCCCCCACACAATCCTGGGGCCAGCAGCCCCATGGAGCAGCCACAGCTGCTTCTACAGCACACAGGATCTTGGCGTTACCCATTAGTGCCTACCAGCAGCACGGTGCTGGGAGTGGGGCAGTGGTGCCTGGGGCAGGATGGGTCCTGGGGCCGGGTAAGGCTGCCAGCAGCACCTGCCTGCGTGGGTTCAGCCATGTGTCTTTTAAGTCATAACATTCAGTTGCCACTTCTACCGTCAGCCTCAGTCTGTTATTTCTGATGCTAATTATACTCTGGCGTTTGGCAGCTAATGACTCTTCTCTGCTTCCTCATCAGCCTCCTCCGCTCCGTGCGCTCCCTCACAGCCCCCCCACAGCCCCCCAGCCCCAGCAGTGCTCCCTCACTGCAGGCTCCAGGCAGCTGCCTGCACCACTCCTCTCAGCAAGGCCGGGACACGGGAAGGCCAAAGAGCTGAGCCCCGGGCTGCCCCAACAAGCCTCTCTCCCGAGCCAGTCAGGCGCTGACCCAGACACCGATGATCACACCACTTGTCCTCTGCCATGCACTGCAGGTGTGCAACGCACAGACTGAAACGCCAGCACACTGCTGTGCACAGCTCTGGAGCCTGGTGCTGTTCTGAGAAGATCCCTGTGGGGACAGCATCCCCAGGCAGCTCAGAGGCAGAGCACACTGCACACAGCACTCTGCACTCAGCACCCCCAGACCCACCTGCCTGCTGCGCCTGGATGAGCTTGCTGTGCACTGCGTCAGCAGACTCGATCAGCGTCCGGCTGGTCTGGATCATCTGAGGAAAGAGGGGCAGTGAGAGGAGCTGCGCAGCCCCTGAGCCCTCTGTGCTCCGCACACCCCATGCCTGCAGAGCACCTCCCAGCCGGTCCTCCCAGCTCCAGGATGGGACCCATCCTGGGACTCCCCGGTGCACAGGGCTGCAGGCAAACACCTTGGAGCAGGATGGACCCCAGAGCACCCAGTCCCAGAACTTACCGTCTCATAGGCAGTGAGGACCTTGCGCAGCAGGTCGGGGATGGGGCCCTGTGCCTCCATGGGGGGGTACTGCTCAGCCAGGTTGAGGGTGACGCTGGGTGCACCGTCACTGTGCAGCAGCCACGCAGCCACCGTCAGGATGCACTGCTTCATGTTGGCGGCGGGCGTCAGGCCGCACAGCTCCTTGAAGGAGACCAGCGCGTTCTGCAGGCAGAGAGCAGCGTCGTGCTGGGCCAGGAGCGCCCCCAGCACCCCCAGCCCAGCACCACCTCTCCCCAGACCCCACGGTGCCGTGTGGCTCCAGTACCTGCACATTCTCCCGCAGGTCGGTGGCCTCCCGCAGGGGCTGAGTGGCCGTCCGGAAGACCTCGTCGATGGCCTTGATGCCGGTGGCTTTGGTGGAGGTATATTCGCGCACCCGGCGGCCCCGGCGCCCCGCCAGCCCCCGGCGGTGCCCCTTGCCCCCCCCGCGGCGGTCGGTGATGGCCACGTGCACAAAGAGGGTGGCGTGGGGCAGGGGCTCCCCAGACAGCGACTGGAGCGGGACGTGGCGGTAGCCAGGCTGCAGGCACTCGAAGGGGATGGTGTACTGCGCGATGAACTCATCCCCGATGTAGTCGTCGTCCAGCACAACGAAGCGCAGCACGGCCAGCTCGGGCAGGTTGATCTGGAACTCCAGGCTCTCATCGAAGACGGGGTTGTCCCCGCTCTGCAGGGCCGTCTTGGTGCGGTGCTCCGCGCAGTCAGCTGGGATGCCGTGGATCTCAGCGCAGACGTAGGGCTCCACCACCTCCCCCTTGGCCCCCGAGCCCTTTGGCTTGGGCAGGTTCTGCCCGCTGATGACTTTGAGGTGCAGCAGCTGCGCGGGCACCCCGGGCAGAGAGTCCTTGGCGTTGGCACTGAAGTAGGAGACCTCCTCCCGCATGATGGCGGGGCGGAGGACGTAACCGCAAGCCCCGTTCTGCCGGAACCAGCCCGCGTTGAGGTCCATCATCAGCCCCGGCGTCTGGTAGTTCATGGCCACCATCTGGCAGCCGCACTTCCAGAAGTCCTGTGGGTTCATGTTGCTGGCATCGATGCGCATGGGGCTGGGGTAGACGCGGGAGAGGAAGCGCTTGTTGTAGCTCACCAGCTCGGCCGGACACTCATTGGCGAAGCGGCCCGCCTCCACCTCGCTGAAGGAGCACATCTCCCAGTAGCGCTGCCCGCGCCGCGAGCTCTCAAAGTCCTGGAAGGGGACGGCCTGGCAGAGGCTCACCAGCTCCGAGAGCTCACGGCTCAGCCGCACGCGCCGCGGGATCCCCCCTTCTGCCGCCTCGCGGTCCTCCTGGCCCAGCCTCCGCGCCAGCTCCCGGCCTTCCTCCTCATCCGACACCTCCCCCTCGCTGTCCTCGCAGCCGGGCGGCAGCTTCTTGCCCTTGATAAGGATGCGGCCCTTGAGCTGCTCCGGGGAGGGCAGGTAGGAGGCGGTGGGGTCAGGTGGCTGCAGGTAGAGCTTCTCGCCCAGCGTCTTGCGCAGGCACTGGGCGGCCAGGCGCTGCTGGGCAGCAGAGCAGCGCACCACCAGGCAGAGGATGAGCGGGTAGGCGGAGGCGGTGAAGGCGTGCTGGTCGATCAGCCCCACCACAGAGCGGAAGGGCACGCAGGAGGCGGCCGAGGGGCTGGTGTAGACCACGGGCTCACCATCGGGGCCGTCCCACAGCACCAGCTCGATGCTGCGGCAGCCCAGCCCCAGCGCACTGACGTATCCACTGATGTCCGAGCGGCCCCAGAAGTTGTCCTCCAGCAGGCAGGCGCTGTGGGCAGAGCTGATGTAGTAGTGGGAGAGAGGCTGCGCCATGTCCTGGCACACCTGGCGGTGCTGCGGGTCGAAGATGGAGCAGTCGGAGGAGAGCAGGTAGCGGGTGAAGCCGTCGATGGCCAGGTAGCCCTTCTCCCGGCCCTCCTTAGAGGGCTCGTACTTGCTGACGATCTCCAAGCACTTCTCCTCCGTGACGCCCTCCATGCCCTGCTCCACCTCCAGGAACGTCAGCAGGTCCTTCAGGCCCAGGTACTCCTTGTTGCTGGAGAACTGCACCAGCAGGAAGAAGATCTCGGGCCGGGTGCAGAGCTCACAGTACGCCTCCACAAACAGGTCGCAGCCCACCTCGGTGCCGGGACGCTCGCTGGCCTTCTGCAGCTCCTTGAACTTCAGCTCAATGGTGGACACCTTCATGCCAGGGTTGAGCGCTTTGATGAGCTGCACGGCGTGGGACACGGGGATGCGGCCGGACTTCTCCAGGTCGGCGAGGTCGAAGACGGAGGAGATCCAGGAGGTGCGCAGGCTGGGGTGGCCGGACCCCAGGGCCTCGGGCGTGTGCTTCCCGTAGGACAGCAGGTACCGCAGCCCCATCACCCAGGCGCTCACCACGTCGGCCGAGCTGGCCACCAGGTCCAGGGACTCGTAGTTGTCTCCATAGATGATGGAGAAGGCGCACTCATCAGGGAACTGGTCAGAGAGGCCGTTGCTGCGCAGGATGGGCGTTTTCTTGCCCACGCGCACCTCCTTCACCGATTTGATCTCAATCTTGGCCTTCTCTGAGTCCTTCTTGGAAGGCTCCCAGCGCACAGAGCGCATGTCGGTGTCCAGCACGAAGAAGCGGCTGTACATGCGGGAGTTGGAGCGCACCTTCTTCAGCTCACAGCCCTCCAGCATGAAGGAGATGCAGGCAGCTGCGCTGTTTATCTTCCGGTCGTTGGGCATCGTGCTGAAGGACACCGTCTTCTTCTGCACGGGCCGCTGCCGGGAGCCGTCCTGCCAGGGTGGCAGAAGGAGCAGAGCCATCAGGGCAAGGCACCATGCACTCCCCGCCCCCCAGGCTCCCACCCCAGCTCTGACGTGCAGTGAGGGGTCCCCAGAGCTCCTGTGCCATACAAAGCCCCCTGGACTCACTGGACCCTCTCCTCTGGCCCAGGAGGTCGGGAGCTTGCTCCAGCTGGGGCCTCCCCCACTGCCAGGCTTATTTTAACTCTGCATTCCTTCCTTCCTTCCTTCCTTCCTGCTCCCGGCCCTGAGCCGGATCCTGCCCCACCGCTTGCTCACCCCCAGGGGCAAAGCCATGCACAGGCAGTCCCCGGGTCTGCTGGATGCTGGAAGAGAAAGGTCCTAGCAGGACCCCCCTGTACCCACCATCCCCCTGCACCTCCAGGCACCAATCCCAGGCAATGCAGGAAGGGGGTCCCCAGGGTGGGGAAGAGAAGACCCTACCACCAATGGGTTGAAGTGAAGGGGGATGGGATGGGGAACAGCAGGGCTGGGAGCATATTATGGGATGGATTTCATTAAGTAGTGCAGCAGGGAGATTTAATCCACTTCTTCAAGATTATGGTGAGTCACCTCTAATCTCGTGGTATCTCTGGCACATGCAGGCTCTTCCCAGCTGCCAGGGTTTGTGGACAATGGAGTGCCCCCTCCTGCACCCCAAGAGCTTTCACATCCCCATGGCAGAGCTGCTGCAGTACAGGCTGGCAGTCCAGGCATGCACACCACAGTGTTTCATCCCAAACAGTCTGGATTTGGCTCTATGAGTCCAGGCAGCCCTGACCAAGGACAATCAGGACAAAATAGCCAGCTTCAGCCAAGGGTGAATGGGAAATGACGCCCCAAAGAAGGGGAAAACAACACTTATCACCATTCCTATGCCAGAGCTAGCTGGATGCTGCTGGATCAGAGGGAGAAGCCTCAGAAACATCTAAGGACCCAGCTCAGCCTGGCAAGCAGGGAAAGGATGCTCACAAAGGGCATCCTGCTGAGATGCTCAGCCCAAGGCTGAGCCTCAGTGTTGAGCATAGAGTGCTTGGCATCAGGCTCATGGGAAGGGCTGAGCCTCTACACCACTGTCAGGATGCTTTCTGTGAGCAGCAATCCGAGTACGGCGCTGCCTCGCAGCTCCAGACCCCAGCACCCACTTGCAGGTGGCCCTGTCGGCAGCGGGGAGTGCAGCTCTGCTGCTGTGCTGGGGCCAGACCTGCAGGCCCTGCAGACCCACACCCCGCCCGGTGTGCACCCCACCCCTATACCGGGCCCCAGCGCAGAAAACAGGAAATCCATCCGGAAAGGAAACGCGGGGCGGGGGGCCTGCTCGCACCCAGCAGCTGCCGGGACCTGCCTCCAGCTGCTCCGGAGCAGCCCTTGTCCACAGCAGGCAGCGAACGCAGCCCTCAGCACGGGCTCAGGAGGGCCCTTGTTGTGCACCACAGCATGTGCTGCTCGAGCATCTCCCAGTGCTTGCTGCAGCTGCATGCATCCACACCCCTTAGCTATCCACCGGCTCACGCACAGGCAGAGCGAAGCCGCTGCTCCCAGCAGCACGTTGCTCCGGCGCGTTCAGCTGGCTGAGCTGGGATGTGCTGCTCTGTGCCCAGCGCTTGGCCAGGCGCGGGCAGCAGTGGGACAGGCAGAGCTCCGAAGGTACAAAGTAGGTCAGCAGCGTGGGTGGGAGGACGCGGTGCCTGCGGCTGGGAGAGCCCCGCCACTGCCTGCGGGGAGCATGGAGAATCCCAGCCGCGGGGCATGGCTCCAGCACGGGGCAGCGCCGCCATGCACGGCGCAGCTGTGCGCATCACAGCCATGCAGCCTGGCCAACCTCCATGCCCACGGCGATGCTGACCACAATGCTGACTGCCGGCACCCAGCCGGGCATGGACAGCACGTCCAAACCCAGCTCCCCACACCCTGCCCAGCTCTGCAGTGTGTGCTAAGCTGCACTTTAGCCAATTACCTGCGGTGATTAGTGCCCTGGCAAGCACAGCAATCCTAATCTCAGCTGCCACGTGACTCTGCTCCTTACCGGGCTAAATGAGTGCAGGGCCGGGCCCATCAGGTCAGGGACCTGCCCAGCTGCTGCTCCCTTCCCGTTATCCTCGGGGGAATCTCCAGCAGTGCAACAGCACTTAACCGTGGGATATAGAGGAACCAAAAGCCTCTGAGGAGCGCTGGAAGGAGCCATAGCTCTGCTGCCCAGTGGAGGGGAGCAGGACACCTTGACCCAGCAGGACTGTGTTTGGTGACACAGCTGTTCCTGAGTCTAACTGGGCTGTGACACATCCGTAGCCATGTGCCATGTCCCATGTTCTCCCTGCTACCCTGGCCCAGGCTGGGCAGCGTGAGTGAGGTGTGGCAGCCAGCAGCAGAGGCAGTGGGAGGCCAGGCACAGCCAGGGCTCCTCTCCACTCATCTGTTCCCTGCCAAGACCGAGTGACACATCCACTCCCTGCTGCACCAGCTGCCACTTCCCAGCAAGGGGCTGTGGAGCTTGGACCCCATGCAGTGCAACGGCACTGCTCCAGAGCTCACACAAGTGAGGGATGGCCCCATGTGGAGGGGATGGACAGCAGGGTGCTGGGAAGGGTCACAGCCTGCAGCAGGAAGGAACAGGCCCAGCACCTCCCTTCAGCATCTTCCCCGCTTACCAAAACTTTCTGCTTCCAACTCAGGGAAGAAGCAGGGAGCAGATCCTCCAGGAGGACATGGGGACACTGCCCTCCCCACTGCATCCCCACACAGCTGCGCTCCCATCGCTGCATGGGGCCAAAGAACTCAGCACAGCCAGCCCCAGGCTCCCAGACGGACACTGATTCTACTTTCAGATTCACTCCTCCAACCTTTTCTGGAAATCCCATAGAATAACAGAGCCCGCAACTCTTCCCACAAATGCTTCCACTTAGTCATCAGGCAGGGTCTGCCTGCAGCCCACAATTAGTGGGTGCCCTCTGCCCAAACTGCAGCCAGTGGGGGCCAGGCTGGCTGTGACATACAGAGCCCCAGAACAGCTTCAGCATCTTTGGGGGATTTGGGGTCAGACAGCCGCTCCCCAGGACCTGTCCATGGAGACACAGACATGGTGATGCGCACGGACCTGGGTGGAGTTTGGAGAGGCAGCAGCTCCCCATGATCCTGGACAAAACCTGAGCAATGAGTCCCTGCTGCTAAATGGCAAAGGATGCACTCCATCCCCCTTTCCTGCCTGGGGACACAAGCAGGATCACCATGTCCAAACAGGGAATAGCAGAGAAGTGCAAGCAGCAAATGCCTGTGTGTTCTTTCAGCAGCGTGCCCACCCACCATCCCCACCAGTCTGACCCAAATGAAGGCCTCAGCCCATGTGGTGCCTGGGGCTCAGCCTGAGGAACTCAAGGCTGCAGGATCCAGCACTGCACAGAGATAGGAACCTGCAGCCCTCCAGCATCAGGGAAATACCAGGCCTGCAGGGACCCAGAGCCATGTGGCAGACCAGGAGGGGCTGGGGGTGCCGTCCCAGGCTGACCTCCTCCATTGGCAGTGCTCTCTCCAGCACTGGCTCACGGCCACCTGACCTTCACCAAAGGCCAAACCCCGTGGTGACGCACAGCAGCACCAGGGCTGCATGCAGCAAAGAGGCAAAGAGAGGTGAAGCAGCCCCGTGCACTCCCGCTCATCCCTGTGGGGAGCAGACAGAGCGGGGGCTTCAGGAGGGATTGGGGACCTCATGAGGTCCCCCAGGAAAACCATGAGCACACAGCCCTTGAGGTGCCACAGAGCGTGGGGAGGTGTCCTCGCCATCCTGGTAGCGGGCAGCAGTGTGCAGGAGGTCCCCAAAGCCTGGGTTGCTGGGGCAGGAGGGCAGGCAGCACGGAGCAGCCCCCACACAAGGTATTAATAGTACCGGAGCTCTATCAGCTTAAAATAGGCTGCCAGGAGTGGGGAGGCGGTCCCAGGCGGACACGACCTATTGTGTCAGTGAGCAACGCCGACGTAAGCACAATTAGGGGGGCTGCTTTAGAAAAATCACACACGTGACCCATTGCCCATTGGCATGGGGAGCTCGGGGGACCCCCTTGACCAACAGCCCCCTCAGTGTCCCTGTCTAGCTGCAGCCTCAGCTCCTGCAGAGGTGGCAGGAACTGGGCCTGAGATTCAACATTTTTGCAGGAGGGAGCTCAGAGGATGCTCAAGGGCCAGGAGCAGCCGGCGCCCATGGGTGCCCTCCTGCAGGCTGGGGAGATGCTGACATGCAGTGCCAGCACAGGGGCAGCTCGGTCACGCAGGGAACTCACGAGCAGGGGATGGACGGTGCAATTCCCGGAGGCACAGGGCAGGGGCCTGGGCCGGGGAGCGCACAAAGCCTGAGCAGGGTTTGCCCTTGGGAGACCCCGGCGGCAGGTAGAGCGAGAGACCCGGTGCCAGCGCTGATGGGAGCGGTGGCCGGGACCAACCGTGCACCGGGAGAGAGGTCTGCATCTCCTCGCCGCCGCTCTGCCACCACCCGGAGGCACGGCGGACCCCGGCCCGGGGTGCTCGGGGGACAGCAGAGGCGGCAGCAACCGGCGCACAACCGCTCCGACCGGCCGGGCTCGGCCCACCGAGGCGCTCCGCAGTACCGAGTCCCGCGCAGGTGCCGCCCGGAGCCCGGGGAGGGGGCGAACAACGAGGGCGGCCCCCCGGGGGGGGAAACCGCGAGGAAGCGGGGTTCGGGCCAGAGCACGGGCTCTCACCTTCATGATGCTCGCACGGGGCGCGGCGGGCGCGGGGCTCCGCTCCGCCGAGTCCTCGCGGCTGCTGCTCCCCGAGCCCGAACCGGGGCTGCCGCCGCCGCCGCCGCGGGGCCCGTTGGGCAGCGGCGCGGCGGGGCGGGGCGAGCCGGGCGGCGGGGCGCTCCGGGGCCCCTCCGCCATCCCCGCGGCACCACAGCAGCGGCCGCCGCGGGGCCCCGGGCGCCCCAGTGCCTGTGCCCGTCGCCGCTGCTGGCTCAGTGGCGGAGCGGGCGGGAGGCGGCGCGGCCGGGAGGAGGGGACGGGCCGGGGCCGAGGGCGGGGACGGCTCGCCCCCCCCCGCCCCGGGCTGCCGCGGCGCGCGGTGACAGCGCGGCCGTGCAGCGGTACCGGCACCTTCGGTGTCGGCGCCGCAGCGCACGGTCTTGGTGGCCGCCCAAGACCGCCGGGACCCCGGCCAAACCCGCACCCTGCAGCCTGGTCCTAAACCGAGCCTGCATCCTGGTACCCGCACTTCAGCCTGGTACACAACCCCAAGCAGCACCTTGCAGCCTGGCACCCAAAGCGAGCTGGCAGCTTGGCATCCTGCATGCTGGTGCTCAAACCCAGACTGGCATCCTGCAGCCTGGGACTCAGATCAACCTCACACCCTACAGCTTGCTGCCCCAAATCGACTTGCACCCTGCACTGAGGCATCCTGCAGCCTGGTACCCAAACACAGCCCACACCCTGCAGCCTGTACCCAAAACTTGCCTGCAAACTGCTCAAACCTCCCTTATACTCCACAGCCTGGCGCCTGCACCCAGCCCACTCCCTGCTTGTCCAAGCAGGAGGGCTCAAGCTTTCGCTGTGTGGCACAGTGGGGCTCTGGGGAAGAGCTGTGGGCATGCATGGCACAGCAGCGGGATGCGATGCACCACGGGGCTCCCCAGGCTATGTTCAGGTCACGGATGTCTGCACTACAGGGCTGGGAGCATCACACAGAGCTGCTTCACTGCAGGCCTTTATCCAGCACCCACCAACTCTGCCCTCCAGTAATGCCCAACCCTGACAGCACTGGGCACACCTGACACACACTGGCCCAGCACCAGTGTCACTGTAAGGATATTCAGGGTCCCCAAACCCTCCCCATCACACAATTTCTTCCCTGCTTGCAACAGGAATTTTGTTCCAGGCTTATTTCCAGCAGGGCATGGGAGGAAAGGGCTCTCCGCACCATTTCTACCCTGGCAGGAGGCGGTGGCTGCACTGCAGGGATGCTTCATGCCTGCCTTGTTTAAGACAATGTCTTCTGCCAGCGGCCTTGCTTGCCCCCACCCTGGTAACAGCTGTGTGCACAGCAGGCTCTCTGAGTGCCACGGCTCAGTAGCCCTTAAAATAAACCTTAACAAGCAGGGAAAGGACCAGTTCCCCCCCCCCCCCCCCATGGTACATTTGTGCCTCAAAGTCATCAATGGCCCCAGACACTCCCAAGGCCCCAAACAAACGCTAAGCTGGTTAAATATTCATGGCTGACCCTTCCCCAGGACTGAGGCGAGCAGATAACAAAGGCCAACTTCTCATCAGAACAGAGTCAGGGTTGTCATCAACAAATCTCTTAATGAAGATTAAAAATAAAAAAATAAAAAAAATCAATCCCAGAGCGCTGTCCTTTATTTATATTTGAGAGTTAATCCTCTTTTATTTTGCATCTGTTTTTGTTTTTTTTTTTTCCCTGTTTGTTTTTTACATTAAAAAGCCCCTGCTGGAGCTGATTGTTTCTGAACCATCAGGCACGTGGGGCAGCTGTCACTGCTGCCAGCACAAGCCCTGCCCAGGGCATCCATGCCGGGGGACACAAAGCTGCAGGGCCCCGGGGCTACCAGTGCCAGGGAGGTTTCTGCTGTTCTCCTATGGTGGCCACCGGCTGTGAACCCCCAAGGGACCCTCAGGAAAGGCACAGGCACCACTGCCTCGCGCTGGTGGCACTTGATGGGGCCAACCTTTGGCTAAGGCATGTCCAGAAAGGCCCTGAGGATGCCCACCTATAGCCACAGTCCCACCCTGTGCCAAAGTGAGCCCTGAGAAGAGCCGGGGTCACGCTCTGCCGGCTCCATCCGCTCCATCGGGTGCCCTCACCCCAGTCCCACTCCGTGCCCGGTGGGTGACACCAAGCAAAGCCCAGCGCTGCCCTTAGGAGATAACGGTGCCCTGGATGACGGCCAGCAGCCGCTCCTCCCGCAGCACCCGGGGCATGGGGACGGGGCAGCCCATGGCCTCCCGCAGCCGCGCGAAGGCCCCGGCCCCAACCAGGTGCAGGCGCAGCGGCCCGATGCTGCCCTTGAAGCGGAACGATTTATAGATGGGGAAATCCTCCTGCAGGCAGTGGTCCAGCTGCAGAGAGGGAGGGGGAGCTGCCAGCGTGCGTCCCAAAGCTCTGTTTTCCCTATGGAGCAGCTGCCATCCCCCAAAACCCAGAGCTACCCAGAGCCCCTGCTCCGATACCAGACAGGGAAGGAGCCCTTTCCCCAACAGCCTTCCCTGCTCGCGGGGCTCCCGGCGTGCAGCGGGTCCCGCCTGCGGGCTCCTGCTCAGCACATCAGCCAAGCAGTCCCGGAGGAATCCCGCTGCCGGCGAGCACTGCCACCGCGTGGCGGCGGGGCGGGCAGGGAGCGCACAGCAGATCCGCCCCCTGCCTGCCCCCAGCAAACTCCAAACCCCCTTACCTTGTGGCGCTGCCCCTCCAACAGGTCCCGCAGGCCCCGCAGCTCCACGAATACCTCGTAATGCGGGGCACCGGCCCCCGAGGAAGCACCTGTGGTGGTGCCACCAGCAAGTAACGGCCACCCGCAGCCACCGGCTCTTGGAGGCAGGTGAAGGAACGCTTTGGGGATGCTCACCCAGCAAGGTGCTCTCCACGCAGATGTAGTCCATGAGGCGGGCACCCGGCCACATGCCCACGGCACGGCACAGGCTGCGGCAGAACTGCTCCTCAGGGATGTTCTCGCCACGCACACTCAACGCTTGGCTCTCTCTGCGGGCACAGGGCTGGATAGCCTGCACCAGGGGTGCCAGCAGCACCGTGCACCCCCACAGCCTGCCTGAAGGTGAGGGCCACAGGGCTGGGGTGACCTCACCTGCGCACGGGCTCCACCACAGGGCACTGCTTATGAAAGCCAGCCACCTGCAGCACCTCTCCGGCACGGCACCTGTGTGGGCAGTGGGGGCATGAGGCTGGGGAGGGGTGCACAGCCCCCCTACCCTGCAGCAGAGTACCTGTACTCCCCAGGCCGGGCGGTGAGGATCAGTGTGTACTCGCTTCCCTCCCAAAGCTCGCCCAGCAGCACCGTGCACTGCTTCTCCTCCTCCTCGGCTGGGCAGGGCAGGAACTCACAAAATGCCCACTCTGGGCACAGCACAAAGCGAGGCATGGGCTCTTTTGGCCACAGGTTGACACCGAGCAGAGCTGGGCAGAGGGTGGCTGTGAGCTCCAGACCACCCTCCTCATCCCTTCCACAGGGCACAGAGAGAAAATCCCTGCGGAAGGGATGCTGCACCCCCAGCACTCACCTCCTGCCACCCGGTACCAGGGGCAGTACAGGGGCAGCCCCTCGCAGGCTGCCCGGCTCAGGGCATCGCAGTACAGCCGCTCCCCGCCGCGCACCGTCCCCACCACCACCACCTGCAGCTGTGGCCACAGGCGCCGCACGATGCCCTCGAAGCCCCTCTCACACTCAGCCCGCAGCTCTGCTGCCCGCGTGCTGTCGGGGACCAGCAGTGCCTGCAGCCGACCCCGCATCTCCTCAGGCAACCCGGGCTGGGGGCTCAGCGTGCCCAGTGCCAGGTCTTGTGCCAGCTCGGCCCAGCCGTCCCGCAGTGCCACCAGCGCGTCGTGCAGCTCGTTGGGCAGCCGGGCCTCCAGCACGCGCAGTGCACGCGTCTGCAGGGCGAAGAGCAGCTGCACCCGCAGGGCTGCGGAGCGCAGGGGCAGGGCGGCGGCCTCGGGGGGCGTGCAGTACAGCGTGGGCAGCGGGCAGAAGCCCGGGGTGCGGGGAGCGGTGGGCGCCCAGCCCAGCAGGGCCGTGCCACGGAGCGTCAGTGCCTGCGGGAAGGCGCGGTGCAGGGCGTGCAGGTAGAGCAGGACCCCCTGTGCAGAGAGATCGGGGGGCTGCAGGACAAAGCCACGGGGCACCGCCCGCGCCGCGCTCCCCGCAGCCCTTCGCTACCTGCAGCGGGGGCTCGGCCCTCCAGCAGCTCCGCAGCACGGCCCAGAGGCTCAGAGGCGGCAGCGGCTCCGCTCGCTCCCCGTCACTGCAGCACGTGCTCAGCGGGTGACGCTCCCGGAACGCGTCGGACCCTGCGGGCGGACGGCGGTGCTCAGAAGGGCGTCCGGCAGCCCCCGCTGCCCGCTCTCCTCTCCCCGCCCCGCTCACCCGGGGCCGCGCCGGGGGGCAGCAGCCGCCGCAGCCGCCGCTCCTGCCCGTGCTGCACGTCGATGCTCTGCAGCTCCAGGCGGCGCCGCTGCCACCCCGAGGCCCGCAGCAGCGCGGCGCGGAGCAGGCGGTGCCGCAGCGGCGGGGCGGAGGGCAGCACCACGAACACGGCCACCAACAGCGCGACGACCGCGGCCAACACCGGCCCGGGGATCGCGGACAGCACCGTCCCCGACAGCGCGGCCGGCGCCATCCCCGCACTCGCACCGCCGCGCTCCCGCTTCCCCCCCGGCCCGGCCCACCCCCGATCGCCGCCGGCTGTTCCGGCTCCGGCAGAAATGACGGGCAATGAGCGCGCCCGGGCCCGCCCGCCGTCCCCCCCCCGGGAAATGAGCACAGGGCGGCTCCGCCTTTGCGCCCAAGCGGAGGATTTATTTTCGTTTTCCCCTTCTGTATTTTATCAAAAAAACACGCCGCCCCTTCCTTCCCACCCCCTCCCCAACCCCGACGGGGCGATGCGAGCAGAGGAATGAATCGCAAATAAAAAACGGCAACAAACGCGGCCCGGTGTGCACCGCTCGGAAAGGGGCGGTCTTTTTATTAAAAAATAAAACAAACAAACAAACAAACAAAACCAGCGGAATTCGGTTTGCTTTACTTTGGCCCGGGGCAATGCCTGCAGCTCCCGAGCCTCCTGCCCCGACCGCAGCCCGACGGGTGCGGGTGAGGAGCCCCTTCCCCCCGGCAGAGCGGGGCCGGGAGCTGCCCCCT